TGAACCGTGCTGCACAAACACTGCAAAGTTTTGAAAAGCCATTTAGAATAAAAACAGCCTGTGAAACGATGGTGGTATAAAATGCCTGTCAATAACACTTCAAAAACCCAGGCAGGGGATAAAGAGGAAGGTTCAGTTTCCTTCCCTGTTCTGTTTCTGGTCTCTCAGCTGAGAATGCCAGTTAGTGCCAGTTGTGGCTGTGTTTATTGAGATGTGTCCATTAGGAACTGGAATGAGACTCACCAGCTGATTTCACCAAGTAGCCGTCAGCTGGTAATGATTTTCGGTCACTACCAAGCAGGGCCAGATTTCAGCTAGTGACCTAGAGGTGAAAGGCTGTATTCAAAAACATTCCCCTCCTAGGAATGAAACTGGTTTTACGTCAAGAGAAAGCGTCTGGCAACAGTGAGCAAAAGGGAGCTGTTCTGGTTGTGCAACCTCCAGTGGCTAGGGTCAAATAATCATTGGCATCAAATGCCCAGTGAATCTAATGAGGTCTCAGGTAGAAGGTATTTCCTATGACTAGAAGATGAAGTAGAAGGAGGTCATGAAGAGATTCTCCCCAGCAGTGCTCCTTTGCCCTACAGTAACAACAGAACTCTAGTGTTCTAAGGAAAGAGGAGAAATTTCAGGATCCTAATGCTCAGCACAGAATACAGCATTGTCTCCCCCTGGGACAATTCATTTAGGGACAGAGATAAACAGCAGGATAGCTAGGCATCACTGCTGCTGCTTTAAAAGGCTTCAAGTGAGTTTGTCTGACACAAGACCACCAAATGAAACAGAAGATGAAAGATGAACAGAGCTGACCCGGTCCTGTAGCAACAGATGCAGCATAATAATGCTGTCTTAACATTTCAAGATTGCTGAAAGCTTCTCACCCTTACCAGAGACTGAGATACACCCTAAGCCAGCTCTGCTGCTACAAACTTAGGATTTCTGGATTACTGCTGTGTAAAAGGTGATCAAAACCTTCATCACCTCTTGCTGCTTTTGATGGCTTGTTCTTGCCTCTAGACACTGAGGAAAGGCAAACCTTTTGCAGAACACTTCCTCAGCCCTTCCCAAGAGCAGAAAGGACACAAATCTTGGCACACCAGTCAGCAGTGCTGATTTTTTGAGGTGTCAGTATTTTCAGATGTCTTTCTTTTCTCCAAAGGAAATTGTCACTTTGGACTACATTCATCCTTGCTCTAATTCCATCACAGTCAGTGACTCCAATAACAGCATTTGTGTATAATTAGGGGAATAAACTGTTACTTAATGTAAATTCCCATTTTTCATTTTACATTGGGAGGTTTTTGCACAAGTTGCCTACTTTGAGTTTCAGAGAATATACCCAGATTTAATACATAACCTTCTGGAGGATCAGCAACAGGACATTTATAGATCTTTGATTGCAGTAAAGCAACTGAACTTCATTTCACAATCTGAATTTAATATGTGATATTATCTTAAGTAATGGCATATAATGTCATTACAGTACATAGCATCATACTGTGAATTATACATCCATTCCTGGAATTCATGAGTTACCATAGTTAGCTTGTAGTAACTCTTTCTAGAGTTAATACTGCATACAGCTCCAGCTGAAACCAACTGCCTGTTTCCAAATGCCTTTGACTTTCTTAAACGTTCAGCATTAGATCATGAGTTAGCAATGTTTGATTTCTATTTTGTTATTTTCAGCAGTTTTAAAGCAATTTCTTTTGTTGGTTCTGAATACAGCTGGACAGACAAAAGTAATCTCTCCCAGTATGACGATTGTAACAAAGTGTAATCAAATTTGGTCAGGAACATAGAAAGAAATATTAAAAGCTAAAATTAGCTGAGCCATAGTCCTTTCTGAGCAGAACTTTCTTTCACTTCTTGTAAATAAGCAAGTGAAAAATCACTTCCAAACCTGTCCAGAAATTATTTGCTAAAAGAATGACAGATTGTAGGAAATATCCCTCACTTCTCTGACATTTCTATCTAAACTCTCTTATAGGCTGACATACTCTGTAGTCTCTTCTCTCTCACTATCACAGGCAGAGTCTTTAGACAGTATCTCACATAAAAAAAAATCATGCTAGGGCTGATCAGAGGGAGATGAGGTAGGTCTGAATCATCTGGAGTCCCAATTCTTTTAATCCTGGAAGAACAGGTTGAAGTTGCACTAAGGGCAAGAGTGATGTAACCTGCCATCCCAAGGAGACCCTGACAGATTTCAGAAGGCACTCCTATCCTCACTTTGATCCTTTGTCATGGATTATTTTTCAGAGTGAAAGGATACACTCAGCAGAGCACCAAACTCCTTGTAATTGTTTTGGAGTATTCATATTTTAAATGCTCCGTATTAGAAGCACATTACAAGACCCCAGGGTGTGCATTACTGGGCAATTAAAGCAGCTCTTGGAAGGCTAACACTGTGAAGCTCCAGCCTTTTCTCCGCAGCGTGTCCAAGGGAGGCTGCGATGGCCAAGGAGCACACCCCGCTGTGCTGCCCCGCTTAATTAGCGCGGGGCTGGACCGCCGAGCCGCGGGCTGTGCCGGCGGGGCAGGGACAGGGCAGCCTGCAGGGGACTCGGTGCAGGGCTCAGGGAGACACTGATCCCTTCTCCGCATCAGCTTGTGACCATCCCAGTGATGCTGGCATCAAAGCATGCATGAAGAAAGGAGGAATGAGAAGAGGCAGCTTTGGGGTCCTTGGTGACAGCCCCCATGGAGCAAACAGTAACTGCAGGTGGGTGCTGTGCAGGCGCAAAGAGCTCTGAATGTGGCTTGGGTTCAAATAAGACAGTCTTAGGTTTCTGTGCACAGGTTGAGACACAGATGAATTCACAGCTGAGCAAAATAATGGCGGGGGGGAAAGTTTGTACGAAGTTCTAAATGGAAAGCAGGTTTCATAGCATGGCGAGGAAAAAACAACCAAGAGATTTAGAAGACGAAGGAAGGGAAATAGAAAGCCTGATAGTTAGGGCCTAATCGGATTTTGGGAAAGGGCTTCAGTTCCTTGCTCTGTCGTAGACCTCTCATCAAGACTTTGGACAAATGGCATTTCTCTCTGTGCTCTGTTTCCTGCCTGAAGTGTGAAGATAGGAGCATTGCAGTGCCACCTGGGGCACAGTGAGGACAGCTGGAAGAAGGAGTGAAGGGTTCAGACTCTCTAATAACAGGGGCCAAGTAAGTGCTTCAGCGAGCTGTAGCACAGTATTGGCTTCGTTCCCCTGCTTGAAGCAGAAGTGACATGTACCCTGCTGACAGTTACTGTACGTGAAGGGAAGGGAGGCAGGCAAAGGCAACAGGAGCTGTATTTCAGCTGCACCAGCTCTGGTGGTAGCATTTGAATTGGCAGCAGAAGATATAGTTGGAAAGATCAGGGCTTCAGTTGCTCCCCAAAAACCACAACATAATTTCCACACCCCCCTCCTCCCCCCAGTGGGGGACAGTAGCTTCTTCTACTGCTCTCAAAATCTACTGCAACACTTTCAACCCTCAGAACAACTGCTGACATTGGCAGGAGTAGCAGACTCAGCTTCC